TAGAAGTAACTAATCGAAGAACAAAAAATCCAATATGAAAACAGAAGACTGATCTACAGGTAAGAAAATAAACCATAATAAATCCTAGGCTTTGATCATTATATTTTCGTTGATACTTATTTGATGTTATTAGATAAATATAAATAATATTATGATAATATAGTTAGAATTTCTTTTGCATACGTTACATCATGTATGTATGAGTCATTCAATTTTTTCTACGTCAATAAAATATATTACGTAATATTGTTTCTTTCTCGATTCTCAGTGATCAAGTGAGCATCTATCAAGAATGATTAAACATCATTTCTATTCAATATTTGATTTTTCGTATCATAAAATAATAAATTATTAATAAATATGTGCCAAATTGAATAGAAGAATATTTCACAATTAGTGAGCGGTCTTAAGTCACACTCCTCGACCATGCTATGCTATATTATATTCCATCAGATTAATATAATAATAACAAAATTATTCCATATGATTTGACAGATTTAAGAAATAGCACGGATCTCTTTATTAACGAGGTTCTCGCGAGGATACGTTCATTCGAATAATAAAGTCCATACAAAAATTATTATAACTTGTCAACAATGTGTGCTTTTTGATATGTTGAACAACATATTTTTCCTATGTATTTTACTTCACTGGATTATCGAGAGACGAAGCAGATTCCTTCTGCATTAAATTAATCACATTTCATCTTGCCAGAAGAGTCGATGTAGCCGTGGGGTATGAGAGCGTATCTTCTCTTCACTCACACCTTCCTTTCAAAATCTTAGATTCGCCATCGTTTTGAGAGAATGAAGAAAAAATAAAATTGAACTTTATATTTATTTTATTTTAAAGATATTGCATTAGTTTATAAATTCAATGAAAATTGAAATTCAATTAAAAACATTTCTCATCAAAGAAAAGCAAATCAATTAAACATTTTATTCAATAATTAAATCAAACATTAGATCTGGAATTTTAGTTATATAGTAACATCAAGTATTCTTTATATAGGAGAAATTACTTATTTGTATGCCATTATTTTCAGATTAGTATAGAATTTATTGAAATAAACGAATTTGTTGCCCAGAATATTTGCTCTTTTATGATCATTGCATAGTCTGATGTAAATTTTTTCGTAATGTGAATAGCGAAAACTGTATTCTCAAATTTAGTTTTTGAACAAAAAACAACAAAATTTTCTCTCACATGCTAGATCCAATCGGACTCATATTTCAAGTGAAAGAAAAAACACGCTTTTTGACGATGCTTCCACTATTTTGGTTTTCGCCGCGCTCAAAGAACGCCATTTTAAAAAGCATAAGAAACACACACTACAATTTGATCCTAGTTATCAAAAAGAAAACTATAGCTGGAAAAACTGAATTATATAGTTTTTCGGGAAGAACTTATGGCGAATCTTGCTTCATCGAAAACAAGAAAATATTCGTGGTCAATGTAAAATAATTATGCATTATATTATTGTTCAAAGTATTTCAGTTCTTGTTCTTCCTTGTCTGTTTAATTGTAAGGAAAACTATTGAGAAAAATTTAAATGGCATCCACTGTGTCAATATCTACAACAATTAATAACGTTATTTAACGAACAAATGATGTAAAAGTGTGTCAAGACTACTTGAAACTGATAATAATCATGCAAATGAAAATTATTTTAATGTAGTGACTTATAGGGATCTCGAATCTGTACTGCATCGTCTTCAATTTCGGCTAGCTCAACAAAAAGCTAATCTAATAGATGACTAGAAAAAAGTGAGAGTCTAAATACTTACAATGGATCGTTTAATACTTTATTACACACGCGTCAGGTTTTTGAGGGAGTGAGTGTTTAGAATCTTGTTGAAATTTATCGGTCACATTAAATTCAGCTTCTTCTGAACGTTTACTAATACCTAATAGAGGAAAACGTTGGCAATTTTGAAGATCTTCAATCAAATGATAATAACAAAGGTATTGTCGTCATCAAGCACACATGAAGAGCATTCACTCTTGATAACTGATAATTGTGCAATGAACATCATAAAATTAAGAACCCAAGGGATGCTTGTTTTAAATTTTTTTTATCTTTATTGTTCTATTATTGACTCTGAAGAGCGAGCGCTCTTAATGTGTGATTTGCGCAAAAACAAACTTTTTTATTACCATTTAATTGAAAATATTTCCATCTTGATTTGTAGTACGTCTATTGAAATATTGCTTTCATATGAAATGAAATCGAAAGTAATGAGAGAGCCTACCGATTTCGATAAAAAATTGTCAACTTTTTCCTCTATTCGTTATCAATAAACTTTGAAAAGGAGCTGAATCCAGTGTAATCAATAAATTTCAACAAGAAACCGATATAACCAATTAAAAAATATGTGATAAAATACAAAAACAAAAAAACGATCTTTCGGAATTTAATGATACACATTGATATGACGGGTACCAAGTTGATTTGATCTCGTGATGCAAGAATAAACATGCTAGCTGCTTCATATTAATTCGAGCACAGAGTTCGAAGAGATACACTTCGTAATAAACAAATCTGAAGAAAGTCTTTTGTACTCTCATATCAATGAGTCAAATTCAATAGATTCAAATAATTTATTAAGTAGACATGATTTTGTCAAGAACTCAGATATAAGAACGTACGTGTAGTTTTATAGCAAGGTTTTCGCATCCTTCCTTCCTCTCTCCTACCACAGACAGTTCTTTGTAGTTACAGATAAGTGCATTGTCAAACTAATTTCTACAATGACCACTATTGAATAAAAAGAAGAAAACATTCATTTATCATTTAAAGCATCGTATTGCAGTTGTTTCAGTCACCGAATTAATCATTTTTCTATTGAATAAAATATATATGTTTGCTAAATTATTTCCTAGTTGATATGACGTATATATGTGCAATATGTTATATCTTTCGATACTAATTAAAAGCTTTCTACTTTTGATTTAATAATATAAATGTATATTTTTCTAAGGACAACTAAACA